TTTGTAAACCATTTGAACTACATTATGCGAAACAAATACGTTACTATGGAACTAGCATCTTACACTGACACGCTACCATTCCTCGATTGCCTAGTTCATAGGAACGGTGGACGGTTAAAGTGGACGATATATCGCAAGCCGACAGATACGGGCGGAGTACTTCGTTACAGTTCGGGTCAATCAAAACAAGTGTATGCCTCTATCGCATCCTGTCAATTCCACAGAGCCCAGACTCTGTGTACAGAGGAAGAGGACAGGACGGCCACTCGAAAAGGGATGGTGAACAAATTAATAGACAGTGGATATCCTAGACGATTAGTGAAAATACAGTTGCAGAAAGCTCTAAATCCACCTCCGCGACGCACGACTTAATGGATTGGGTCGGTGGGGCTCCCCTATAAATAGGGGACCTCAGTAGCAATCAGGCGAGTATTCAACAGGGAACAAATAATTGTGGTTTTTCAAATGGGTCAAACGCTCAATTCAGCACTTGTGCGCTTGGAGGATCCGCTTCCACGAGATGGCAGGACCAATTGTGTTTATTAAATCAATTGCAAATACTGCGAACACGTGTATATAGGTCAAACAGCCAGAGAGCTACGCAAGAGGATAGCGGAACACGAGTGGCACCTTTCGCGTCCATAGGGTTGGGAGCCTGAATCCAGGGCCCTAATAAAAGATCCAACGGTGGCCGTACACGCGCTGGACGCCAGACATGAGATTGATTAGGAACATGTCGAGATAGTTAAGAGGGGAGTACCAGCGACAAGCCAAAGGTTGCTTGCTGATACGATCGAGATTACTAAGAGTAATAACTGTGTGAACAGAACGGATGGAGTGGAGTTATCGAACGCGTGGCGGGTTGTGTTGTCCCGGTTAGTCAGAAAAGGTTGCGGCGGACGAACTCAGGTCGGAGCGTGAATCAGTAGCTGCAGGAAAGGAATTCCTCGCATGTGGACGACTTGTGAGGTGGATCAATGAGAAACGCTCGATATTTGTTGTTCCACTAGAACGGCCATTTGATCTATTCAGCTGTAACACTATTATCAAATGGTTCATGTTATTTCTTGCAATCTTCACTGTACTTTCCCATAAAAAGCCAAACCAATTGTGTATCGATTCACCTGGTCTGAAGAAGCTTTTACGTCAAGACCGAAAGGTTGCCATACTAACATTCTACAACAACAAAGTTGTTTTCTACACCTTCCTAAATTTATTTGTGTCAGATATTTTTTCAAGCTATTCCGAGATTTAGAATGCCTAATGGGAATAACTTAGCGCCCTCCAACATTCACTTTTCAAATTATTTCCGTCGTTTTTTTGCTATGAATCTTGTATTGATGCTGTCGCCTTTTTTCGTCCTTATATTGGCCTGCGTTAGCTTTCACGCTCTCGACGTCCCTGCTTATCTCCGTGGACAATTTGAGACTGCTTTGCACGAAGTAATTGTTGTTTATCTTCTATACGACCGTGGGATTTTTCAGCGAAATTCACGACGAGTGGCTTATCGCTAGCTCCCCCCTTACATGACACCGCTATTCCGTTACATATGCTACGCGGAATAGTTCATTGGAAACAACGAGGAAGTGCATGTCTTTCTGCATTCCGTTTCAGCAAATAGCCGCTTTTTCATGGCTAAACGGCGTTCCTACATCTCCTGGAAAGAATTTGCCACCTATTTCATCGGGCCAGTGGTGACGTCCAAAAAACGAAAGGCTTCCGCCCACATGAAATAAAATCCCTCAAGCAGGACCAGATGTACGTATGTACCCTCAAACGGGATAGTCTGACACGCTTATAATGCTAGTCTAATTGTGTGGACTTGAGATGTCTACATAAATCAGCGGAAACACTGCATCAAGTTGGTCTGTGAAGTCAGAGCGCAGCACTGAGAGGCCTTAGTGGATAAGTTCGGTACTAATCCGAAAACTCTGTGCATGCGCATCAATAAGCTCGGAGGTATACAGCATGGAATCCCATGTTTAAATGCAGCAGTTAGGCTGTCGCTAACTACAGGAAAGGATGAAGTAACGTCTCCGAAACTGTTCAGTTGCACTTTCCAGCGTGAATCATCATTTAACCTACTTTTTACGCAAATTACACCGCACCCAGATTCAAGCCACCTATGCTTCACTGAAATGCAAGGGGTGGAAAGACTTCAGCGTACACAACTGTTCTGGTGTGTGCAACCTACGACCATAGGCATTATAGGGACAGCCGCCATGAAAGTCGTCACTCAGTTGGTACGGTTTTTTCGATGCTGTAATAAAGGGATGTAGCTTCCATAAAATTGAATTCTTGAACAGGTGCTGAGCCCTCAAACTACTCAATAATAGCAATAATACTGGTTTTATCCAACGTTTCGGAAGGTATTACCGCAGTAGCGCTTATGGAGTATCTTGTGAGCAATAACCTCAAAATGTCCCAGGCTCAAGGTTTGCACCGCATTCGGTCATGTATTACAAACTTGCTGCTAGTCCAAACTAGCTGTTCGCAGTCGGTCGATGCCAAATTAGAGCCGACGTCATCTACATGAACTTCTAAATGGCCTTCGACTGCCTGCACTTGCGCATTCTTCTTCTCAAGCTTCGAAGGTATAGAATGGTTCCCTGTGCTGTACGTGAGAGTGCGCAACTTCATTTCCGACCCAACTGAAGTCCAGTCTGATGTGGCACAAGGATCGGTACCGTGACTATGTCTGTTCCTCTTATTCTTCAACCGTCTTACGATTTGTAGTCTTAGTCAAAATATGGCATAATATTAATACAGTGGACGAGCACACGGCACGGAAGAGCAAGCTCAACGTCACATACACGTGATGATTCGAATACCGGGTGTAGTACAATGTGAACAGATATCATCCGCTTACCCTTGAAAATCGACATGGTGATCACCAGTTGCAACTTGCTTCCCAGAAAAGCGACCTCTGGGTAATCATGCAGATGATCTTGGATGCTCGATACTGACCGAAAAGGCATCGAGAAGAGCCGGAGGGCACCATGGACGCTTACAGAGGGCCTTCGGAAAATTCGAGCAATATATTCGCAAACTTTGTGTGACTATTTGAGGCCCCATGTGGAATGCGCGATGCAAACCTGGCGTACCTGTCGTAGGCACGAAGTTGATGCATCCAAAGCTTCCCAACTTAGAGCGAGCAAACAAGTTAAAGGCTTGTTGCACTGCTCCTACCAACGCAGGCTGCAAGCCTTGAGATTACAAAGTGATGAATATCAACATCAACGAGGAGATCTCATCATGCACGATTTAATACTGTCTAACCCAAATCACGCTTGTCACTACTTGTTGCAACTGAGCCAAAATAACAAACTGAGTGGCCACCAGCTTATACTGGACACGCTCTACAGTCGACCTAGTTTTCGACAAAATACATCCTATCATCAACCGTCTTGGATATGAACATCGTTACTGCGGCTATATTAACGTTTTCCTCAAGAATCCTTGACTACACAATAATCCACTTGCATCGCGTAATATAGGCTGTTTCGCTTAGAGGACGAAAAAGCGCGAGCCAATCAATATGCAAACTAGTCTTCTTTGAAGGTAGAAGTGAGGAAATCTGTGTCTATGTTTCTACAAATCGCTTGATGCGTTACCTAAGAGCCTATTTTGCATCAACTTTTGCTGCAAGTTTTACTTTTGGTTGTGTTGGTTACTGTGATTCACTTATGGGGTTCGTCAAACGCTCTCTTGTTTACGCATAGAAAACGATTGTTTATTCAACGAGTGAGGAATCAAGCTGCAAAATGAATGCGGGCGAATTAATGGAGGAAACAGCAATAGCTTGAACATTGCCGTAACCGTAAAGTGATATTCGAACCATGAACCGAAACTATTTCAATGAGAGTTAGTCGCTGGGAATTCTTACTTAGACATGGCAAGGGAAATACGATTACATTGGACCCACTGACTCAGCATAGTGTCCGAATGCTAGCTGAGACCACCGTTTTGGTGTTGCGATTGTCGTCACCTTCAAATGTGCGGATTCAACAACCATGTTTGTTGGTCCGTTATGTACCTTCGGAGCAAAGCCTCACATGGTTTAGTATCGTTGCTCCCATGGCTAAATGTTGCCAGGCTCTTCGATGTGTTTCACTGTTTCAGAATCATATTGTGCAACCTGTCCATTGGTCTAATTAAGGTGAGTCGAAATGACAACCCCTTGCGCCATCCCGCTATAAGTGCACCAGTACTGGGATTGATCTGTTGAGATTCAGTCCTGCCCATTTTTGACTCAGGCCCTGTTTAATGTCACGTAGTACCGTGATTTCTAAATGCTACTGTTTAATTATAAAACTCTCGCTGTATCGTTCTTCAACGGAGTGCAATCGATGCAAAATAGCGCTGTCGTGCCTTCTGCTAAATAGCATTCCAGCCCTCTCAGCGACTTTAATACCAATCTCATTCCGTTTTACAAAAATGTTTAAGTAGCACGTATTTTTCAACCACACTAGAGTGAGACGCATACACTGTGTATGATGAAGAGGACGACACCATACAGTAAGTTTTCAAGTGCGGCAGATTTTCCATCCGAATTAAGCACGTCGATCTGTAAATTATTTGTTAGATGACGAATACTGTCCATACGAGTTTAGAGTGGACAAACAGCTTCTTCACTAATTATTGGGATCAACACATCTGTTTTGTGTGCGATTGGATTGCACCGCCTGCGAATATCGATTGAATCCTCGTAGTCCATCTAAAGAAAACGCAAACCTTGTAGTTAACTGTCGGGCGGCTCATTGCAGCTGGCTGTGCTCCATCGAGATAACAAACCAACGCCTGCATCGTTGCTTATAGGGGTTCACCAAGAGTATAAAGCACATATACAGTTGTCTGCGGTAAACTTCAATTTGACTTGCAATATTCTGGTCATGGAATCGAGATCATTTGGTACTAGCTGGTTAGAACTCATTGATTTGGAAATGCAAGCCTTACTGCATGTCGACCAGCGCTTCGGGCTTCAGGCACAGAAAGCTTACTTTATTTTGAATTTGAAGTAGTTGTACGATTACTCGGACATGTGACGCATAGTTCTTCACGGCTATCACGCGCATAATGTTCGCTGCGTCCTTTTGATCTGCATCCGACGCGGTGGAGGAGGCCAGAATGAGACATGCATCAGCTTCATCCATGCGGACTCGTTGTAGATCCACGTAGTCCATGACAGTTCCCTGAGAAAGCACAACAGCAAAAATTTTTTGTTACCCTGAAACCTTTCATAGAGCTGAAAACATATGAACACCTGTACCAACACTATGAAGTTCAAGGATTAATAGAACTAACCTCCGGACAATACTCTCAAGGAGTAACACAACGATGAATATCGTTTTAGTTCCCTCAGCAATAAGGCTAAATTAGTAAGCCGCTTACGTAAGACCTATTCATTCTGCTTACTGGACTTTGGAAGGTCAATATATATCTAACGTGATTTATTGTATCAACCGTTGAGTATTACATCCTAATCAATATTTTGCTACACTTAGCACAGTTAGCACGCAATCCCAACTATGTAAATTAATGAGTCCGATGGGTTTTACCAAAGGGTATCTGCCACTCTGCACCTTGCTTCATGCTAGTAAATAGCAAATATGCACCATTTTCAATGGACCATTGTCTTCTTTCCATGAATCCCGCAAAGTTGTGTGAAATAAATAACTCTAATAGAACGAAACGAACTTCAGTGTTGGCGTAGTCATCGCCGCCGGCCAGGCTCCACTGAGACAGTGATATTTGGTAGGAGATTTGCACGCATCTTACTGGATTCGTTATAACTAAGTCAATTCCAATTGTCAGCGCGGGTATTTATACGAGAATAATGCATAATGATACCAGTAGCCTTGCAAAGGAATTCTCGTATTACTTGCTCCATCCTACACTTCTTTCGACATAAATTACACCCCATTGGAGGATGAAACCCGCTACTTCATGTATTAAAGTAGTCATTTTGGCCTCTGCGATAATATCCCCTGGCTACAAATTGCATGATTGTGGGTTGGAATCTGGGATAAATCCACAGTAACGTGCAACGATGTACCTAAATATTGGAACGGAAATACTATCCAGTATGTCCTTGGACATAGAATGGCTGTACGCATGAGCATACCTAAAAATAATGTGGTTACCACAGTTAATGTAAGGAATCCATCCAATGAACTAGGTTGATCGGCCTTTGTTCTTACTTTTGTATACATATATTGCTTGCTTCTAACCAATGTAGCGTTTTTGGTACCAACGCGGCTGTCAGGCACAAAAAGAATTTGCAACGCCAACAGAGGAGACAGAGCGGGGTAAATGCAGTACTTCTAATTTCAAAGTTGGCAGGGTTGCATTGTTCTTTCAAAAGAGAACAGTGTCTAACTCACAGTGCTTTGCACTAGATAGTGCTTGCTTAACTCCAACATTCACGCCATTGTGAAAAGACCACTGGCGGCCTTTGGTGCACCAGTGCCAGTCTCAGTCCGAAGTAGAGATAACACTTTACCATAAAAGGGGACATTGTAACTAGCCAAATAGTGATTTCTTATGACAGTTTCAGGTACGCAGACTAAACAATTTAACCCTTATTAAAGTGCGCCAACCTGCCTTGTCAAACCCTGGTATTGCAGTATATCAGGGGCTACTCAGCTGCTTTACTGCGGCTTACTTATTTTCTTACAAAATTCATTCGTATGTTTGCCCTTGTACTCCGTTCTGCAGGTGGCAGTATACGATATGGGACTAAGTACGTTCCGCAAGCCACTATAAATATGGAAAAAGTAGGTAAACGGTCCGCTTATCATCTTTTAACAGCCAATTGTTGTATGTAGTCACCTTGACAAAAGTCCATTGATCAAACTGCTGAATGATTCCAAGATTATCTGAATAGATGGAATTTGACTGTATTTACAATTTTTTTTCTAATCTAGTCTGCGCCTCCGTTACTACCGAAAATATTTTTTACCGTTGAAGGAATAAAATACAAGTTTTGGCAGTTAAATTATAGACAAACTAAGCTCCTGTTTGTACAACAACTACATCCATAAACAAACACCATTCCGTATACTAACTGCTATATAAACAAGACACTAGGTCGATCGAGTGTGCTGCAGCTGTCTACTCACCAAAAATGAGCGGAAGTGACCGCCGCCCCTAAGTTTTTTGATGTTTATCTAATTTACCAAAGGCAGTGAAAACAGTTGGCTTAGGTAATCGCCACTAGATTACAAAGCAGATAGGTCTATTGCCAAACCGGTTGAGAACCTGACGAACATATAGCCAAATAGGGGCTGGCCAGGGGGTGTCTTCTACGCTCTCCTACAGGGAACCGAACCCATGAATGCTTGCACCTTGGGCCAAACCCCACTACTTATAAAGATTAAAATTTTAGCATTTGCAGTCTTATTACTGGTAAGAGTTGTCCTGTACCCGGATGGTGAAGCACTTTACTCTGTTCTGGCAGTAATCTGCACAATGGTGAAGGATGAGTCGTGCTATATTACAGTAAGCTTTCAAAACATGATGGTTAGCATTCCTTCCCATGGCAAAATGGCATAAGCTTCTGGGTAGTGGTGCAAGCTACCAGCGGTCATGGGTCCGATTCTCCGATGGTGCCCGAGGGAATGCGCATCACTGAGGAGACCCAATAAAGCGAAACAATCGTCTGGTGTCTTCGCGGAATGCTAACTGACTTAATGCGCTTGTACTTAAATTGTGAGGAACTAAACAATTCGTAAAAAATCCATTTACACATGAGGAATAAAAGCTCACCGCCTCCTCTAACTTGCAACTAAAGTTTTTTGTAAGTATTAATGTATTCATCCCGGTAGTTCACAAGTCATATATCCTAGCCTAGTCCGGAAAAGCCCCAGACGAGTTTAGTCCTATTAGGGCTTCTCAGTGGTGTGAGAGGACGTCATCACTTTGAGGGCTAGCCACTGTCACTGACAGTGGAAGATAGGTGGTGCTATATCCCAGTTAGTTTGCCAAATATGGCTCAGTGCCTTAAGCTGTTGGCTAGTTAGCATCTGCCACTAGTGGTCTTGGGTTCAATCCCCAGTATGGGACAGAGGGAATGCGTTTGCATAACCCTGAGCAATTTGGCTTATTGCTGTTATACCTCCCTATTGCCAACCGACTTGCCATGAGTGTCAGTAAGCAAAGCAACTGTCTCCTTACAGTAAGACAACCTGAATATACGTTGGCGGAGAGATACCTGAGCCTATGCGGAAAGAATAATAAATATATGCTTATGTACATGTTTATTCTCGACAGTCTAACTCCTGATAGATAGTAGGTAAGTGCGTGTAAGGCGTTAGCACGACTGCCACGAGTGTGCTAGCACTATTTATTACAGTTGAATGGAAAAGTGGGGGCCAAGCCATGACGCCTACGTAGGGGGACGTAGAAACAAGATCAGCAGAGTAGCTTGTTGAGCAGAGCTTAGTGCATTCAAAGTGTGCGTGGCCAGCAGCTTTCACTGTTTTTCAACCTGTTTGAATTATTCAACCACGTCTTGCACGATCTCTCCAAGAGCAGGTTTATGGGAATCACGCCCAGAAACACCACCTCTAAACCGATATTCTTAGGCTGATTAGCGGCGCTGCACAATGCTTTCTACTTAACAGCGTTAAAAGACAGCAGCTTCTAAGCTGAACAATCATAGGTCCCGTTGAGCTCAGCTTGTAGTGCATGTTCTGGTTTACATGCTTATAATACGCTAAACATTAGAATCATCGGCAAAGAGCAAAAAAATTGGGGTTGGCACTCCCGCGAGGTCGCATATGAACAATAAGTACAGTCGAGTTCCTAGTACGGGGCCATGCGGGATACCCCTGCGCACCTCTATCGGCTCAGAAAAATACCACGAAATGTTACACTCTAGCTGCTTTGATGCAGTAATGCATATATCCAACCCAGGAGAGGGTCAACGATTCCAGGTCTCAGCGGCTTGTAACTAAAAATGCGGGGAAATGTGCCATCAAAAGCATCCGAGAAAACAAGGCAGGTTTTGTCAGCGCTCTCTGTATCATCGACTAAGTCGGCCCATATGGAAGGGGAGAGCAAACTGTTCCCGAGCAGCAAGGCTTCCGTCAACACCGGTCATGCACCACCAACCTACTGATTGCACGAGGTAGTTGGACGGAAGTGGCCGATGACGGGGTCGGAGTCGACGTCATCTATCTGGACTTCTCCAAAGCTTTCGACCGCCTTGATATCGCATCTTACTTCAACGGCTTCAGAGTTACGGAATCAGGGATCCTGTACTTGTTTGGATTGGCAGCTTCCTTTACCAACGGAAGGATCACTCTCTAATTCCATTGAGGTGGAATGTAGTGTCCCACAAGGCTCAGTGCTGGAACCGCATTTACTCCTGGTGTTTATCAACTACCTGGCAAGAGTTATCTTGTAGTGGTTGTGATTACACGGTAAGTTATCTTTGATTTTACCATTTCCGTTACCTATCATTTTGTACCATTTGTTTAAATTGACACATTTTGCATACAGCCATTTTCTACGCGCTCGCGTCTTGCTGCTTTCGGTTTTGCTGCTGCTTGTGATTGTGCTGCTGCCACGTCCATCCACTACTCGGATTATATGCTAGGACCTCTAGTAGGCATTAGTCTAACATCGATTGAAGAAGGAACTATAACGCAAGTGCATTGATTTCTCCTCCATTTTGTGTTTTTTGCCTAAGACTGCATTTTGCCCCAGCACTAGAAATCGTTAGGTAACGGTCCTCTACATAATTGGTGACCCCGTATTTTTTGAATGCCTCGTTTTTTCCTTTATTATGTATTCTCAACCTTCTTGTGGACGGTTATCTGAAAATTCCGTTACATTTTCTTTGCCATCTTTCGATTTGTCGAACCCACGTGTTTGGTTTATTCAGGTTGAATCTATCTTTTGTTCCCGTAGGATACCACGCAGCCTGCAATGTTTTTTCATACGTTACTGCCCATTAACCCACACACGTGGCTTCAGAGGTCATTGATATCCTCGACCCTATGCCGACCGACTCACCTTATGATATGCTTAAGGCAGCCAACTTAAAACGCACTACCTCATCCAACGAGTCACGCCTCCAACAGCTACTCTCCGGCGTCGAGCTTGGTGATCGTACACCGTCTCAGCTCCTGCGACATATGCGATCCCTTGTCGGTTCAGCAACCTCGGATGATTCCATTCTTCGCCA